GGGGTGTGGGCCCCAGGAGACAGGCTGAGTTTCAATCCCAGACCTTCTAACTAGGTGTGAGACCTTGGTTTCCTTGTTTGTAAAAGGAGACAGATAATAGCATTCACCTCATAGGGTCAGGAAGATTTAATGAGTTAAAATGAGGCTATGAAACGTGCATAGCACATAATATCCTCTGTGTTAGCAATTGTTATTTGGAGTCAGAAAACCTGGGATCCCATCTTGGTTTCACCATTTGCCAGCTGACCTTGGGCAGGTCCCACCCCTTCCTGTGCCTCCTAAAATGGAGTGATGAATTCTTCCTCTGGTAGCATAGTGGCTAAGTCACTTGCCTGCTAACCAGACGGCTGGCGGTTCAAACCCACCAGCCACTCCTCGGAAGGAAGGTTGGGCAGTCCTACTTCCGTAGTGATACTGCCTTGGAAACCCAAGGAGGGGTCGCTATGAGTCGGGGCCGACTCGAGGCACATAACAACAACAACAAGGAGAGAATGAAAACCACTGCCATCAAATCAACTCAAATGAGTCAAATGCCAAAGCTCTGGTAGTGGTTAAGGCATTTGGTTGCTAACCAGAATGTCAGTGGTTCAAACCCACCAGCTGGAAGAAAGAGTGGGTAGTCTGCTTCTGTAGAGATTTACAGCCTTGGAAAACCAATGGGGATCACTATGAGTGAATGGCAGTGAGTTTGGCTTTTTTTTTTTTTTTCCACCTAAGAAGAGAATGTAGGACTTACAGGGAAGATGTATGTTGTGAGTTGCTGTGCACCTGGGCATTGTTATCATTAATTTTGAATCCATTTGAATTCTTAGTTCTTAGTTCTATTCAAATTTATGCACCAACCACTAATGCCAAAGGTGGAGAAATTGAAGATTTTTACCAACTTCTGCAGGCTGATATTGATTCAACATGCATTCAAGATGCATTGATAATTACTGATGATTGGAATGTGAAAGCTGGAAACGAAGAGAAGGATCAGTAGTTGGACAATACTAGCTTTGTAGATAGGAACAATGCTAGAGAATACATGATAGAATTTTAAAAACAAGTCCACAAGAGCAAAAATATGACTATGACCTCAAGTATATGCCACCTGAATTTAGAGTCCATCTCAATAATAGATCTGATGCACTGAACACTAATGACTGAAGACCAAGCAAGTTGTGGAATGACATCAAGGACATTATACATGAAAAAAGCAAAAGATCATTAAAAGGACAGGAAAGAAAGAAAAGAACAAAATGGATTTTAGAAAAGACTCTGAAATGTGAACTTCAATGTAGAGTAGCTAAAATGAATGGGAGAAATGATGAAATAAAAGAGATGAACAGAAGATTTCAAAGGGCGGCTCGAGAAGATGAAGAAAAGTATTATAATGAAATACCCAAAGACCTGGAGTTAGAAAACCAAAAGGGAAGAACACACTCAGCATTACTCAAGCTGAAAGAACTGAAGAAAAAAAATTCAAGCCTCAAGTTGCAATATCGAAGGATCCTATGGGCAAAATATTGAACGACACAGGAAGCACCAAAAGAAGATGGAAGAAATACAGTCATTGTACCAGAAAAAGTTGGTTGATGTTAAGCCATTTCTGGAGGTAGCATATGATAAGAACTGATGGTACTGAAAGAAGTCCAAGCTACACTAAAGGAATTGGTTAAAGTAAGACTCCAGCAATTGATGGAATACTAATTGAGACGTTTCAACAAATAGATGCAGTGGTGGAAGCACTCGTGCATGTATGCCAAGAAATTTGGAATACACTACCTGACAACTATCTATTGGAAGAGATCCTATTCCAAAGAAAGGTGGCCCAAAGGAATGCAGAAATTATTGTTGTCCCCAGGACCTCCATGGGAGAACCTGACATGGGCAAGACCAAACTGTGGTTGTCAGCGATCGGTAGCAGGTCCCATGCCCCCACCCCACAAAGGGATTGTCCTAGAAGTTGCAGAAGGACCTGCTAGAGGTCACAGACAGTCTAATAGCAGACCACCTCGGTAATGGTCAGCTAAGTGCTTTTATCGAGGATGGGCTGGTGTCCATGGACACAGCCTCTCTGCTGAGCCACAAACACAGCAAGATACTCTCCCCAAAGAGTGCAAAAGAGTGCAGGGGTCATTAATATCACATGCAAGTAAAATTATACTGAAGATAATTCAAAAATGGTTGTAGCAGTACCTTGACAGGGAACTTCCAGCAATTCAAGTCAGATTCGGAAGAGGATGTGGAACAAGGGATATCATCACTGATGTCTGATGGATCTTGGCTGAAAGCAGAGACTACCAAAAGATGTTTACCTGTGTTTTCTTGACTATGGTAACACATTTGACTCTGTGGATCATAACAAATTATAGATAACACTGTGAAGAATGGGAATTCCAGAGCACTTAATTGTGCTCATGTGGAACCTGTATATGACCAAGAGGTAGTTTTTCAAAAAAGAAGAAGAGGATACCGCATGGTTTCAATTCAGGAAAGACGTGCATCAGGGTTATCCTTTCACCATACTTATTCAATCTGCATATTGAGCAAATAATCCAAGAGGCTGGACTATATGAAGAACATAGCATCAGGAATGGAGGAAGACTCATTAATAACCTGTAACATGCAGATGACTCAACCTTGCTTGCTGAAAGTGAAGATGAGTTGACACACACTTACTGAGGAAGATCAAAGACTACAGCCTTCAGTGTGGATTACAGCCCAATATAAAGAAAATAAAATCCTCACAACTGGACCAAAAACCAACATAATGGTAAATGGAGAGAAAACTGCTGTTGTCAAGGATTTCATTTTACTTGGATCCACAATCAATGCCCATGGAAGCAGCAGTCAAATCAAACAATATATTGCATTTGGGCAAATCTGCTGCAAAAAGATTTATTGAAAGTGTTAAAAAGCAAAGAGGTCACCTTGAGTACTAAAGCGCCTGACCCAAGCCATGGTATTTTCAGTCACCAAATATGCATGTGAAAACTGGACAATGAATGAGGAAGACCAAAGAAGAATCTGATGCATTGGAATTGTGGTGCTGGTGAAGAATATTGAATATACATGGAATTCCAGAAGAACAAAATAATTTGTCTTGAAAGAAGTACAGCCAGAATGCTCCTTAGAAGCGAAGATAGCGAGACTTCATCTCAAGTACTTTGGACATGTTATCAGGAAGGATTAGTCCTTGGAGAAGGACATCATGCTTGATAAAATAGAGGGCCAGTGAGAAAGAGAAAGATTCTCAAGATTGATTGACACAGTGGCTGCAACAATGGGCTCAAGCATACTAAATATTCTGAGTATGGCACAGGACCAGAAAATATTTTGTTCTGTTTTACATGGGGCCTTTATGATTCACATCTGACTCTATACCACCTAACAATGACAACAACAAGGTTCTTAGCTTTGCACAGAGATGGCAGACATTGGGGGGGGGGGTGCACACATCTCAGCAGATGAGGCCTTGGTCTGGAATCAAGGTGTCAGTCTTGGAGTCTAGCCTGGGCCAGGCTTTGCTACTGGTTTCAGGGCCATAAGCTTGGGTGCACAAAGATGCTCTTAGCCTATAGCTGCCCTCCCTTTAAAGGCACTTACATCCTTGGTCATCAGAAACTGCTGGCCTCACCCAGATGGCCAGGAACCAAGCCTTCTCTCTGGGGGCACCTTCTTGACCTGCTAGGGTACATTGGAGCTCTGTAGAGGAGGAGGCAGCTGGAAGAAAAGTATGGAATGGTAAAGCAGAACTTCTTGTAGTGTAACTAACTTACCTGGCCATGGGGCAGGACAGAGGGCTTGCAACTGGGGCCAGGGCCGTTTGTCCACTGTCTTGGTTGGTGTCTGCAGTACGTGAATCAGGTCTAGCTAGGTCTGTGTGTCCTGGAGGTGAAATATGCCCCTCAGTGGTCTCCTGCTCCCCCTGACTTTTCTCAGTGCAGCCCACCTAGGGCTGGACATCCTGAAAGCACTGAATAAGTGCTTCTTGGACTGGGTGGAATTCCCATCGCTCAGTCCCTGGGGCACAAACAGAGGTGATGGGTCTGGGGGAAGGGATCTTTTACAAAGCGATGGCAGGTGCTTTGAGGGGATGAGCTGATGGGATAGCTCCCTGGGACTGCAGAGAGAGAGAGCCTCGAACCTCCCCAAAGTCACCACTGGGTCATGGGATTGCCTGTGGCAGTTGGAGCCTGTGCACCTCTGAGCAGAGAGGCCCTAAAGCTGAGATGACCCTGCCTCCCTGACAGTGAAT